TGCAGGTGGTCTAGACAGGTGTGCTCTGTGATGCAGGTGGTCTAGACAGGTGTGCTCTGTGACGCAGGTGGTCTAGACAGGTGTGCTCTGTGATGTAGGGGATTCTGGCAGGTGTGCTCTTTGACATAGGTGGTCCCGGCAAGTGTTCTCTGTGACCCAGGTTGTCCGGGCAGGTGTGCTGTTTGACATAGGTGGTCCGGGTAAGTGTGTTCTGTGACCCAGGTGGTCCGGGCAGGTGTGCTCTGTGACCCAGGTGGTCCAGGTAAGTGTGTTCTGTGACCCAGGTGGTCCGCCAGATTCGAGTCATCTCAGTGCCTGTGGGTTTGTTTGTCTGTGTGTCCACCCTTCAGTTGTTGATGCTAATTGTAACTATAGCATACTTGGATAATGAATGGAATACAACACACATGTATAAGACAAGGTCATGTGTCCTTTTCTTCCCTGAGATAATCTGTGCCATAGACTCTGAGGAAAAGGCATCTTTATCACCTCGTAGCCATGAGGCAAGGAGCTCTGGTGGTTCGTGTAAGGAATTGTCCCGCCAGTGCAAAGGTAACAAGTCCAAATTCACCAGTTGCCCTCCCTATGGGTAAGATGAGCTTCTTCTCTACTGCAGCTTATTGCCTCTGAAAACCCACTGCTCCCACTCGATGATGTACAACAGCAATTTTTTGGAGCTGGCTGTCATGAGTTTTAATGCTTTCAGGCTCAGTTTAAGTTTATCTTGTGAAGGTCTGTCATTTTAAGTTGTATCTACTGCTTGGAAGTAAGGTGATGCAGGAAGTTTGTAAACCACAGTTGTTCTCAGTAAATATTTATGGGCTCTCACATCCAGATTTCTGAATATTCAGCCGTGTGAGAAATGGAGAACATTCCTAACCGAAGAAAGGCTATCAGAGCGTCACAGCATTGTAACCATGCCCTAAAGACGTCACTGCCAATGTCAGGTGGATCTCGGCTGAAAGCAGAGGGTACCAGAGGAATGTCTATCTGTTTTTCATTGACTATGCAAAGGCATTTGACTGTGTGGATCACAACAAATTGTGGCTAACCTTGAGAAGAATGGGAACACTTGATTGTGCTCATGTGAAACCTCTACTTGGACCAGGAAGCAGTCCTCAGAACAGAGCAAGGAAACACTGCATGGTTCAAAATCAGAAAAGGAGTTTATCAAAGATGTGTCCTGTCTCCATACCTTTTCAGTCTGTATGTGGAAGAGATCATTCGGGAGGCTGGACTTTATGAAGAGGAATGTGGCATCAGGATTGGAGGAAGACTCATCAACAACCTGCGATATGCATATAACACAAACCTACTTGCCGAAACTAAGTAGGACCTGAAGCGCTTGCTGCAGAAGGTCAGGGACTATAGCCTTCAATATGGATTGAAGCTCAACATCAAGAAGACAAGGATTCTCACCTCTGGGCCAATTGGCAGCACCGTGATGGATGGAGAAGAGACTGAGATTGTTAACAGCTTCAGATTGCTTGGCTCCAGTATCAGGACGCTTGGCGGCACCAGCCCGGAAATCAAAAGGCAAATTACATTGGGGAAGTCTGCTGTCAGAGATCTCTCCAGAGTGTTAAAGAGCAATGATGTCAGTCTAGAGACTAAGATACGCCTGAACCTCATGATCTTCACAATTACTTTCTATGCATCAGAGAGCTGCACAATGACTAAGGATGCTAGAAGAAGGGTTGGTGCCTTTGAGTTGTGGTGCTGGCGAAGAGTATGGAACTTACCAGGAATCTCCAAGAGAACTAACAGATCTGTCCTAGAGAAGGTGAAACCAAGTTTCTCCTTGAAGGGTAGGATTTTAAAACTCTATCTCACATACTTTGGGCACGTTGCCAGGTGGTACCGGTCCTTGGAGAAGGACTTTGATGCTTGGAAGGGCGGAGGGACAGTCCAGGAGAGGAAGACCCTGAATGAGATGATTGACACAGTAACTGGGGTGATGGGGGTTGGTGTGTCAGAGTCAGTGACACAGGCTCAGGACAAGGCAGGCTCTTCAGAGCTGTTGTGAGTATGGTTGCTATGAGTCACAAGCAGCTCGATGGCACAAAACAACAGCATGGAAAAACTACTAATATTTTACAGTATTCAGATGTTATTGTTTTGTTCTTTATAAGAACCAGTAATGAATTAGGCAATAGTAAAAACAAAAACCCAACTCAAGTTGTGATATGTTTATTGGATTAATTTTTTGTTGTTGTTGTTTACTCACTTTTAGGAAGCCGCACAAGCCTTAATCTATGCTGAAATGGCAGGATCAAGCCTAGAACGAATTCAAGAGAAAATAAACGAGTACCTGGAACGAGTTCAGGCCCTCCATTCAGCAGGTTGGTGGAGCGCTGTGCAGCGGGTCACCGCCCAGAGGGTCACCGCCCAGCGGCTCACTGCCAGAGGGTCATTGCCTAGAGGGTCACCGCCCAGCAGGTCACTGCCCAGCGGGTCACTGCCGAGGGTCATTGCCCATAGGGTTACCCACCACCCAGCGGGTCACTGCCCAGAGGGTCACTGTCCAGAGGGTCACCGCCCAGCAGGTCACTGCCCAGCAGGTCACTGCCGAGGGTCATTGCCCATAGGGTTACCCACCACCCAGCGGGTCACTGCCCAGAGGGTCACTGTCCAGAGGGTCATTGCCCAGAGGGTCACCACCCAGCGGGTCACTGCCTAGAGGGTCACTGCCAGAAGGTCACTGCCCAACGGGTCATTGCCCAGCAAGTCACTGCCCAGAGGGTCACTGCCCAGTGGGTCACTGCCCGAGGGTCACTGCCCAGCGGGTAACTGCCCAGCGGATCACGGTGCCTTCCTCTTCTCGTCCCTCAGAGCTCACTGCTGTCCCTTTCTCTCTCTCGTTGTTATCTTCACGTTTTGTTCTTGGTCCATGCACTTGTTGCCTCTTTGCCTACTGCCCACCTTGCCTTTAAGAGTCTTAGGCTTGGAAATTGAGAGTATGGGCAGATACATGAGAAGTTCATGGAGAGGAATTGGAGTACAGGTTACCTCACACATATTATTTATTCCCAGGCTCCTTCGTGTACCTTATCTACCTCAGCTGTGACATTTCCAGTCTCCTTCCGGCCCTGTATACCTTGGCTATGGTGTTTCCAGTCTTCAGACTTCCCCAAGGCCCACAGATTGTGATGTGCAGGACCCTGTTAGGACCTGCTTTGAAATCTATGCCAGTGTCCTCTCCTGATGATAAAATAAGTGATTACTCCCTCTCGACATTTAGATTTTAGGCAGGAGCTCACAGTTTCTTTCAAGTCTCTTCTACCCCAACACCATAGCTCAGCTCTCATTTTAAACTGTACTTTGGAAAAGCAGCATGTAAGTGGAGACCTGGAGCAACTTTTTTATCATTTGCGTTAGTAAAACTAAGTGTGTTTTAGTCAGAGTGAAGCAGGTGTTGACAGAAGTCTACCTAGTATAATAGTCATGGTTGTGTGAGAGCTAAGTGGTTCTCAAAACCTGTTCAGGTGGGAAGAAAAGAAAATTCTCACCTCATGGGGAGCTCTGGTGCCGGAGTCCCCGGGGAGCCTTAGCTGAAGGCTCGTCCCCCAAGGCCTGAATCCCCCAGCAGCTCAGCCTTCCCCTGCCCCCCACCCCATCATTCCCACCCTGGCCACCCCAGAGCAGCTCGTGCCTTCAGGATCGCAGCACAGCTTCTGGTCACTAGGCCAGCAGAGCGCCCTAACAAGATGTAATTAAAGCTTTTGTAAGAATTACTGCTTTATTGAGAAACAACTTATATCCCATAAACTTGGTCATTTTAAAGTGTGTGATCAGGTAGTGTTTAGTGTAGTCCCAGAGCTGTGTAGCCATCACCACTGTGAGGTTGTAGAACGTCTTCATCAGCCCAAAAGAAACCCTGTGTCCATGAGCAGCCCATCTCTGTCCCCCGCCTCCCCACCCACTGCCGTCACCTCGCCTGCCTCCTGTCAACCCGTCACCCGCTCTCTGGCTCTGGCAGGACTTACCTGTTCTGGATGTTTCATGTAAATGGAGTGGTTCCGGGAGGTAGCATGGTTTGGTACTTTATTGCTTTGTTACGGCCAAAACCTATGCACACAAATACGAATCTAAGTACGCAGACCTGTCGGTGTACACCGTTTCCTTGAAGCTGTTGGTGAACGCTAGGTTATTTCCACTGTTCGGCTTAGCTGGTAGTATGGTCGTCTGTGCGTTAGCTTGGCAGGGGTATGGTTTGAGGTTCTCCTGCATATGTGTGTGGGGATGAGTTCCGAGGGAATAGGATGGTTCTGTGGCTCATTTTTTGAGAGCCTGCCAAGCCGTTTTCCGAAGCATGCCATTCCATTTTACAGCTCGACCAGCGAAGTGTGAGGCTACCAGGGTTTCCCCATCCTCAGTAATCCTTGTTTTCCTCTGAGCTCTTTTACTTTGGTGGTGGTGGTGTCCACGCCACTCCAGCTCACGGCAGCCCTGCACACCGCAGAGCTCAGCCCTGCCCTGCCCGGTACCATCCTCACAGCCTCTGCTGGGCGTAAGCCCACTAATGTCACAACCTCAGTCCATCTCACTCAAAGTCTTCCTCCTCCTTGACCCTCTGCTTTCCGAGCATGATGTTCTTCCAGTGACTGGCCCATCCTGATAGCAAGCCCAAAGGATGTGAGACAGACTGTTCATCCTCCCCACCAAGGGGAATGCTGACATTTCCTCTGAGATACTTTAATCTGTGCTTTTGGCAGTTAGTGGAATATTCGGCCCTCTTCTCTAGTCCCACAGCTCAGAGACATCTGTCTATTCTTCTTCTGTCATCCTTACGCGTTGTCTAACTTTCACATGCGCAGTAAATGATGGAAAAGACCATGGCCTGAATCAGATGCACCTTAGTTTTCAAACTGACGTCATTGCTCTTTAGCACTTTGGAGAGGTCCTTGACAGTGATATTGTCAATGCAATATGTCTTCCGATTTCTTGACTGCTGGTACTATGACTGTTTTGTGAATCCAAGTAAAATAAAATTGTTGACAGCTTCACTCTTCTTCCATCTATTCTGTTGTTGCATGTTGGTCCAGTGGTGAGGATTTTTGTTTTCTTACTAATCCGGTGGGATCCATGTTGAAGGCTGTGGTCTTTGATCTTAGTGCTTCGAGTCCTCCTCACTTAAGCCAGCACGGTTGTGTCCTCTGCATAACGCGTGCTGTTGGTGAGTCTTCCTTCAATCCCGGTGCCACATTCTCCTTCATAGACTCCAGCTTCTTGGATAGTTGACTGAGCCTAGAGAGTGAATAGGTATGAAGAAAGGACCCAACCCTGACGCATACCTTTCTTGATTGTTAACCATGAATTGAAACCCTCAGCGTCATGACGGAGACTTGGGTTTGTTCTTCGGCTGTTTCCCGTGGAGACTTGCTCAGCGTGGTCCTTCCCCTCCAAGTCTCTGACTCTGGGCACTGACACATTCATTTTAATACTTTGTCTTCTGGGGCTGCGCTTTGGGGTCTTCTGTTTGGCTCTCTTAAGTGGTCACGTCTTCATTTGTTTTTCACATCCGCTGTCCAATCACTGTGGGTGTTGGATGCCGATGACGTAACACTGAGTCTTGACACCGAGTCTTGACAGCCCATGTGTAGAGCGTGATTGGTCCTCAGGGTCCCAGGGCTGCAACTGTCCAGGCACCTCAGTCGTTCCCAGGACCTCCGGGTGGGGACTCGAACCACCCACCTTCTGCCTTGTGGTCAGATCCTCACCCAGGGTTCTCTACCAGAGAGGAAGTGACATGGCTTCATTGTTTTGATGCACATTTGCATGGCAGCTTCACATATGCTTAAGGCCAGTTTTATGTCTTTGCAGAAATCTTTAAATCTTTTGCCTGTTTTTTAATTGCCTTTTTGTTGAATTGTAAGACATTGTCATATACAGTCTGGATATAAATCCTTAACCAGTATTTACTTGTATATTTAAAAACAAACACACCTGCACTTGGAAGAGCCGTGAGAATGAGTGCCAGCTCCTCCTGGGCCCAGGTGATGGGGGTACGGCGGGAACCTTTCCATCGGGGCTGAGGGTTCTGCACTACACAGCCATTGTCTCCTGAAGGGGAAGGAGTTTCAGCTACTTTGAAGCATAGTGGATGCTGTAGTGTTCTTATTTTCTGTATTTTTTCACTTGTATTTTTATTTGCATTTTGTTTGTATTTGTCTTTTTTATCGTTAGTGTGTATGAGAAGAACTGTGTTTTTATTTGTTAAGTGAGGAGAAAGCACCAAGGAGAGAGAAATGCAGGAGAAAACATTGCGAGGAAAACAGTGCTTTCTTGGTACCTGGTGTTTATTGTACGTGAGTTCAGCAGCTGGGGTGGCCTTATGAAAAGTGGAGAAGTCTCTTCTTACCGATTTGTTTTTGAACCTCGTCAGTGTTTTTAAGTGAAAGAGTGTACTAGGAGGTGACTTGCTCACGGGCTGTGTTTAAGTAATCTTCCTCTCCGCGTGCTTTCTCCCCTCCTAGTCCAGTCGAAGAGCACCGATCCTTTGAAGTCAAAGCACCAGCTGGACCTCGAGCGAGCCCGCTTCCTTGTGACGCAAGCTTTTGATGAAGATGAGAAGGAGAATGTTGAAGACGCCATTGAGTTGTACACCGAGGCCGTGGACCTCTGCCTGAAAACCGTGAGTTCAGCTGGCAGTAACTGTGGTGAACTACACAGACACCGCCTCCCAGGGTTTTCTCTTATCTCCCTGACAGGCGGTTCGGGGAGGGGTGTGTGTGTGTGGAGGTGACGGACAAGCTGGCTCTTTACAAGGTGGAACAGAGAGCACAACCAGAGGCGATTGTTAAGAATTTGGCCCTGCGTCAGAAAGCTTTTCGTTTTCAAGTTAAAAACCTTTTTATACCCTGGTTAGTGAGTTAACTTTGAATGGAAAAATTTGCACAAGCTTCCATCTCATTTTTCTGGATCCTGGAAAGGAAAGGAGTGGGCTCTGATCCCGCTTCAAAGGCCAGGGACACCGTGTAGTGCTGAGGCCCCATCCTGACCGCCAGCACCAGGCCAGTGATCACTGGTCAGAAAGGGGGTGTCTGGCTGCCACATCTGCCCAGGACCTCAGATGGCAGCCGCAGCCTGGGGGGAACCACAGCCCCCACCTTCCCAGTCCCTCCAGGTGTCTCTGGAGACCTGATCGGTGAAACCTTTGTTATGTTTTCAGAAGAGTGCGGTACCTTTCACAGGAGGGTCAGAATGATGGCCTCAGCAGAGCTCCCAGGCTGCCTTTACAACCAGGGCCTTGCTTCCTAGGCCCGTCCTCGCCTGGCCTCTGGGTGCCGGGCGTGTCGGGCACTGGGGTCTCCTGAGGCCCCTGCCAGCGGCCTTTTGTGACATGATGGCCTGTGACTAGCCCACTTGCTCTGTACTGTTGAGTGAGCCCCAGCCCATACCTGCCCCTCAGCGGCTTTTCACAGGCTGCGGACGGCACGAGAGGGGACGGAGCATCTTTCTCCCTTGGAGCAGTTGGAGGATTCGAACCATGTGCCTTTGAATTGGCAATGCGGTTCTTACCACTAGGCCACCAGAGCTCTTACAGTCCACACGTGACTCATTTCCAACACTGTCATAGAGATGGGGATAAAGTGCGTTCTGTGTCTCGTGGTTTTAAGAAATTTCAAAAAGTGCAGTTTTTAGGGTTTGGGAGGTTTTGTTTAGAAATGTCATGAACTAAGCAAATTAAAATAATTGTCCTTTAAAATGTTTCTTTTTTCCCCCCCAAGTCTTATGAAACTGCTGATAAAACGCTGCAAAATAAGCTGAAACAGCTGGCTCGCCAGGCGCTGGACAGGTGGGTGTCAGACGTTCCTATCCTCGGGTGCAGATGGTGCTACTGTTATGCTTAAGAAGCTGCAGTTCTGTGAAGGAGGCCGGGGGTGCGGAGTCCGTGTGTACCCTGCCCTGAACTGGGGCAGCCTCCTGTCCATCCCTGCTCTGACCTCAGTAAGCGGGCACTTAGTCCAGAAAGTCATCAGGAGATTGTGAGGTCCTCCTGTTGGCGTGGAGTCAGACATGCAGAGGGGAATGAGCGAGAAAGGCCGGTGTGGACAGTGTGCACGTACCCCCAGGAAGGGACTCAGGGCCCAGCCGGCCCCCGCTGGCCTCCTTACCACCGCACCCTCCCTCAGCACTTTGATGCCGCCATCCTGATAGTCTGTCCACCCTCTGAGGTTTATGGGATTTACCGCTTTATCCTCTTTGTCGTTAACATCAATCTCCCTTGTGGCCTCCACCCCCCAAGGACAAGCTCTGTGAGGGCAGATGATCTTGTCCCCTTCAGGGATGTGACCAAGCACAGAGCAGGGGGCCTGATGTGAGCGCATGCCGGTAACTTACCTGTAAGAGGGGCTGGGCTTGCTAAGACACTGACCCTGCCTCAGGGAGTGTTGTAGACAGAAGACAACACTTCGCGTGTACTTACGCCGTGAATTATCAAAGCGGGTCCTTTCCAGGCTCTGACTAGGAAGCTGGGTTGCCTGAGCTGCTGAGTGGACTATGACACAGTGACCCTGTGATGGGGCCGGTCTGGACACTGCCCTGTCCTGCAGTGTCATGGGTCCTGACGTGCTCAAACCGCCACCTCAGTCACCGTGTCAGTCTATCCCTCTTTTCCTCTGACCCTCCACCCTTCCCAGCATGCTGTCCTTTCCAGGGCCTGGTCCCTCCTGACCCCATGCCCAGAGCACGTGAGACCACGCCTCACCGTCCTTCCCTCTAAGAAAACCTAGAGGCACCTCCTCCTGGACGTGCTGGTTCTCCTGGCGGTCTGTGAGATGGTCAGCGCACCTCTCCAACACCAGCTCAAGGGCATCAGTTCTCCTGTCACCCTTATCACTGCCCGCCTTGCACATGTATAGCAAGAGCTTGATAAGACCATGACCTGAATCAAGCACACTTAGTCTGGAAACCGATATGATTGTCCCTGAGCACTTTGGAGGGGTCCTTACAGCAGATTTTCCCAACGCAGCATTGAGTTCATTTATACACATCCGTGGAGAGATGGCACTTGGAACACCATTGTCTTCTTGTGTCCTTCCTCCCTCAGCCAAGATCACCAATGACCCCCGTCACCTGTGCCTGCCGCCCATCCCAAGCGCATCCTAAACGGCCGGGGCGGTGTGGGGCAGGTGTCGGACACGGGCCCTCCTGAGCCTCTGTTGGAAAATCAAAGATGCTTTCTGTAGGGAGAATGTCCGTATTTCTGAGTGTTTGCAGAACTGACTTCCTGCCTGGCCCTCGGGTTAAGGCTCTGTCCTGCTGGTGTGCTGGCTCCTGGCCGGCCTCATAGCCATTCAGGAGGCTCACTGTCCCTCACTGTCCCTGCCGTGGAGGAGGGAGTGTCGCTGTTGTCCCTGGAACACTGTTTGTTAGGGACGCTTCTCTTTGGGAGCAGCTCAGGCCGTGAAGCCTGGCCCGTACTTGACACCGTGTGTACTGCTCTTCACGGGCGATGCCTGACTGGCCCTGGAGGAGGATTTTGTCTTCTCGGAAGCAAAAGTGTGAGCAGAGATGACACAGTGTTTGTCTTTGCTGTCCCTGTCACAGGGCAGAGGCACTGAGCGAACCCTTGACCAAGCCACTCAACAAAGTCAAGTCGGCGAACACTCGGCCAAAGCCTCCGCCCGCAAAAGCCCACTTCCCGCTCGGGCCCAGCGCCTTCGTGGACAGACCCCAGCAGGCCGCGGCCCAGCCATCGAGTGAGGCACAGGGCCCGCGGTACACGGCCGAGGAGATCGAGGTGCTGAGGTGAGTCGCCCGCGGGCCTCTGTGCCAGGGGCTGAGCAAGCTCCTTGTGCAGTGTGGGGCGTCCTCAGATCGTCACCCCACCACCTTCTGCTATGACTCTAACTGTTAGAAACCAGCACTCGCTGTCACAGGTAAGGAGCCCAGGCTGGTGCTGCAGTTACAGCATTTGCCGGTGGTTTGAAGCCATCAACCATCCCGACGGAGAAATGTGAGGCAGCACTTTGGTGACGATTGGCAGCTGTCCTGTTCCCTGTGGTTACTTGAGCGACGTAGGGCACTGAGCCCCTGTCACTGCTTGCAGGAGGTCGTGGTTGTTAAGTCTAACGTATTTTACCCTTAGCGTTCCTATTAGACATGTCTTTTTTAACAACTCCAGGACACTTTAATTGTGCCTAGACCAAGAAGCTGTTGTCCAGAAAGAATGGGGAGCACTCGTTGTTAAAAATCAGGAAGGATGTGTGTCAGGGTTGTACCCTTTCTCCGTACCTGTGCAGTCTGTCTACTGAGCACGTAATTCAAAAGGGTGGGCTGTATGAGGAAGAATGTGGCATCAGGATTGGAGAAAGACACATTAGTAACCTGCATTATGCAGGAAGCAGGAGTGGCGTCCACTCCTGGACAACACGCCTCTGGAAACTCTATGAACTTTGATAAATGTCGATGGTGGTAAAGGGGCTTCAGGCCTTTTGTTCACAGGGTCACTGTGAGTCGTGCAGCAACAGCAATTATGCAGATGACACCACCTTGCTCTTTGACAGTGAGGAGGACTCAAAATGCTTGCAAAGATGAAAGTCCACACCCTTCAATACAGATTACATCTCAGTGTTGTTGTTGTTATGTGCTGTCGAGTCGTTTGCGACTCATAGCGACCCTATGTACAACAGCCCTAAACCCTGTTCTATCCTGTGCCAACCGCACCGCCTCTGACACACCCATCCCGATTACCCCAGTCACCGAATCAATCCATCTCATAGAGGGTCTTCCCCTCCTGCGCCGTCCCTCAACCCTCCCAAGCATGATGTCCCTCTCCAAGGACCCGTCCCTCCTGGCTCTCAGCCTCTCTGGGACGAGGAGACTCAGCCCCCACGGCATCGGTTCCTGTTCTCAAGTTCACCATCTGAGTTCACTGAGCTGCAGTGTTAGCTGCAAACAAAACTGTGTGGTCGTCCTTGAACCACCTTCAAAAGAAAGAGCAAGAAGGGGAGGAAACAGTTCACTTATACAAACAAGCATGTAGCCAAGAGAAGGAGGAAGTGCAGAGAGCTGCCACCCACCTCTAAGAAGCCGAGCCGTGATCCCGAAGGCACACAGTTCACGTCCACCAGCTACTCCCGGGGAGAAGGATGGGCATCTCCTCCGTGCGATTAACGGCCTCTGAAAACCTGCTGGGGGCTCAGTTCTGAGTCGGTTCTGACTCTACAGCACACAACAACAGCCACCTCCATCCCCCACTTTCCTGTGGTTTGCGAGAGCCCACTGTGGTTATCTCTAATACTTCATTCTGTATTTCTTCACTAGAACGTAAGAAAAACATTTTTTAGAAGTGTATAAAGTTATACTTTTTTTAAAATTTCAAGAGAACTCCCTCTCACCATCATCGCCGTGGAGGAAGAGTGGACTCAGAGATGCCCGCCCCTCAACCTTGTGGGGTGTAACCCACACAGCGCAGGTCCCAGGACGCCCGCCTTTCTCCCCCGGTGCTGCTGTGTTCAGTCCAACCAGCTTTCGGTCAGTGGCCAGCTCTCCACAAGGCCGCGCCAGAGCTCAGGGAAGCGGGGCCATCCGTCCCTCCCTTCGGGCCCTTTGGCTTGGTGTCCTCGGTCTCGAGAGCACCCCTCCTTGGCCGCTGCCACGACAGGCCAGCCTGCAGGCCCCGTGCTCAGATCAAGGACTCACCAAACTGAAGCCTCTCTGCTGCTCTGGGAACTATCTGGCCGAGTAAAGGTGTCAACAGTGTCAGTTGAATTGTTTTAGTGTCCTCGTCATTTACATGTCATGGACTTGGAGCCCGTGACCAGGAGGCCGTGCATGCTGTCCAGTCAGCTCAGCAGCCCTACGGGACTGTGCCGCCGCCTGGGAAGGACGGCCAGGGGTGACCACAGCCCGGCCCCTGGTGGTCATGGCCCCTGACGGTCGTGGCCTCTGGAGGTCACGGCCCCAGGAGGTCATAGTCGCAGGTGGTCGTGGTCCCTGGCGGTCACGGCCCCAGGAGGTCATAGTCACAGGTGGTCGTGGTCCCCGGCGGTCACGGCCCCAGGAGGTCATAGTCGCAGGTGGTCGTGGTCCCCGGCGATCACAGCCCCAGGAGGTCATAGTCGCAGGTGGTCGTGGTCCCCGGCGATCACAGCCCCAGGAGGTCATAGTCACAGGTGGTCGTGGTCCCCGGCGGTCACGGCCCCAGGAGGTCATAGTCACAGGTGGTCGTGGTCCCCGGCGGTCACGGCCCCAGGAGGTCATAGTCACAGGTGGTCATGGTCCCCGGCGATCACAGCCCCAGGAGGTCATAGTCGCAGGTGGTCGTGGTCCCCGGCGGTCACGGCCCCAGGAGGTCATAGTCACAGGTGGTCATGGTCCCCGGCGATCACGGCCCCAGGAGGTCATAGTCGCAGGTGGTCGTGGTCCCCGGCGATCACAGCCCCAGGAGGTCATAGTCGCAGGTGGTCGTGGTCCCCAGCAGTCATGGCAGACGGACAGTTATGTGAGCTGTTTTTTCTTACATTCTACAGGACAACGTCTAAAATCAATGGTGTGGAGTACGTCCCTTTCATGAGCGTTGACCTGCGGGAGCGCTTCGCCTACCCGATGCCGTTCTGGTACGTGCTGTGTATGTTACAGTTCTTATTCCCAGGGTCCATTTTGGGGCCTTTTCCTCCAGTCCTTTTAGTACTTTAAAGTCAAATTCAGTTCACAGAAACTTTGAAATTATCTCTTTTAACATTTTTTAATTAAAAGGACAACACTTGCAAGAGAGACTCAGTTTATCATAAATTAAGTGTTGAATAAAAATTGTATTTTTAAAATATTGAGAGTATTTTTTAAATCCTAAGGGAAAAACTATGAATTTGTTAATTTAGTGGTGATATTAGCCTACTAACAGCCTTCTGCTCTGAGAGGTGCCTGTGGCATTGACCGACTAACAGCTCTCTGCTCTGAGAGGTGCCCGTGGCATTAACCAACTAGCGGCCTTCTGCTCTGAGAGGTGCCTGTGGCATTGACTGACTAACAGCTCTCTGCTCTGAGAGGTGCCCGTGGCATTAACCAACTAACAGCTTCTGCTCTGAGAGGTGCCCATGGCATTGACCGACTAACAGCTTCTGCTCTGAGAGGTGCCCGTGGCATTGACCGACTGAAGGCTTAGAGCTGTGATGATGTGAGGAGACAAGAGTTTTCCCAGGAGTTGGCAACCTAGACTACAGACCTCCTTTTTCCTAATCTCTATCAAAATTCCCTGAAAAGCCACTACTATGTGTTTTCGTTTCACATACCACATAATATCTATCATCATAGAAATTTTTGAACCCAGAGATCTATACTGCCCTTTGTCTAAACAGAATAAATGCATGAATGTTCACAGTAGCCCAAATGTAGAAAGCCCAAATGTTCGTCACGGAGAAGGCATCCATGCTCGGTGGTAGACCCACACCCAGGCTGTCCTAGCAGTACTGAGCGCTGCAGCAGCCGGGTGGATGGTGACCGAGGTGCGGGCAAGAGCAGATGCAGGAGGCCGCGTGCTGGGTGACGCCACACCGTGGCAGCGACCAGATAAGCAGCTGCACAGAAGCACGTTGGGTGTCAGGTGTGGGGCTGGGGAGAGAGTGGGGCACCTGCTTATGGACGTGGGTGATGAGAATGTTCTGGATTAAGGTGGTGTTTGCACACTGTTGCGGAAGACCTTGTTGCTACCAGTTGTAAAGTTCTGTCCCATGTACCTAACTGAAGTAATGAGATTGTAGGGGAACATCATTTCCCTGGTTCTGGAAAGTGTTTGAGGGAAGGTCGATGTTTTTCAGTTGGGAGCCATACATCAGTGTGAGAGAGGATTCCCATACACAGAGGGCAGAGAGCGCAGACGAGGGTGCAGCAAAGGGTACGGCAGCGGGCACAGACGAGGGTGAGGCAGAGGGTAAGGCCGAGAATTCCATTCCTGCTGCATTTTAGCCGAATGATGTGGCCAAGTATTTAAGAACTTCAAGCCCGTTACAAAAAACACAGAAGAGGATTGTAAGAGCTTTAAAAGCGTGGTTTGAGACTGCAGTGGACAGTGTGTAAGGCGCCCTGGCCTCGTGCCTGGCATGTGGTCCCCCAGCCCACTGCCAGCTCATAGATTCCAGCTCCCACCCCCGTCGGTCCCCACGGCTGTGCGTTGTGGTGGGAGGAGACTGCAGGGTGCCTGCTGGGCTCGACCAGCTGACCTTTCTGTTAGCAGCCCAGGCTCCTTGTCACATGGTCAGTACTGCCCACGGCAGGGGACGTTTGTCAAGAGCTCAGAACAGGAGTCGGCTTCCGGGGTCGGTCAGCAGGTCCTGATCGTGGCTTCATGGTGTTGAAGCTGCACTTCTGTGTGGTCACCTCTGGGTCAGCACAGCCCCGGGGCGTGTCCTGGGAGCAAGCGGGTGGGTTTGAACGGCCAACCTCTTGGTTCACGGCTGAAAGCTTAGCTGTTACGCTGCTCAAACCTTTCCTGAGAATAACCCTGCAAAATGAAAGGTTCATCCTGTTCTTAAAGCAAACAGCAGCTTTTCTGTTCCCAGTCTCTCTCCATTTTGTTTTTAATTGAGAGAGATGATCAGGGTGTTGGGGTCAAAGTTAAGTGTCAAGAGTCAAACGTGGCCAGGAAGAATTTTTTCTTTTTCTTTTTCTGGATTTCCATTCATTCATTGTTGCATACTTTCCTCCCTGCCCACCCTGCCCCTCCCCATTCACTTTTCTCTCTGAAAAGGAAAAAAAATTCTTTTGTTGTTATACAATCCCCCCCTCAGTCCACGTCACTGTGCAGCTTTCATTCTGGACTCTTGTCATGACGGTAATACCTAATCCTGTATTCGTCCTATAGATCTCTCCCTCACCTGTTTCAATGCAGTGTACATTATTTACCCCTCTTCGGTTTCCCCCACTGTTGTAAAGCGGGACTGATATCAGAAAGACATTTAAGACTCAGTAACTGTGATTAAAATGTGTGTGTGACCCAGGGACTAACCCTCCTTTTTCCGTTATCACCACAGCGACAGACTGGGCAAGCTGCCACTGTCACCCAAACAGAAAACCACCTTTTCCAAGTGGGTCCGACCGGAAGACCTCACCAACAATCCTACAATGATCTACACTGTGTCCAGCTTCAGCATAAAGCAGGTAAGCATTTTGCATTGTTTTCTGTGAATGCAGACGTTTGAAAGTGCCTTCAGCATGGGTTTGAATTTCTCCCGAGACCTTTACGATGCCCTCGGACGACCTAGTGTGACAGGTCCAGCTTAGACTTGGTGTAACCGCTCCTGGTGCCTCTGGCTGCTGTGTCCAGAGCAGAGCCCCGGGGAGTCCGCAGGGCTGTGGCCTCGCAGAAGTGGTCAGCAGGCCCATCTTCTGAAGCCCGGGCCAGGTTTAACCACCATCTTTCAGCTGGTGTTGACCGTCTGCCCCCCCCGCCGGGAGCTTCTCAGCGTGCTTGGGCCGATGACACGAGTAACTGTTTGAAGCAGTCCCAGAGGTCCATCTAGACTGTCAGCATGTGCTTGTGGGTGAGAAATGTGGTGTGGGAACGTTACCTTTGGCAGGAGTATGGAGGAACTTAGCACATGTAGAACCTTCCACGGCAGAACAGGCGTGTGGCTGGGCTGGCGTTACCCCGTTGGGCTGTGTTAGGCTGCGTGCCGATGTCACTGCGGTCCTCCCTACCAGTGCAGAAGGAAAGGTCCCAAATGCTGAGACTCAGGAGTCTCCTCACGTACACTTTCCATTTTAACTGATCGTTCTATAATATACCTTCTTTCTGGGAGATGCCTTTAATTTTATTAAATATGGAAGGTGGGAGTCGGTGAGAGTGTTTTGGTGCATTGACGATTACATCTCCGGATCTAATTCTCCGTTAACTCCGGAGAAATAGCTGCTCCCCCTTCCTAGGACTTTCTGAGAATCCTGCCCCATCTGTGAGTCTCTGTTCCTGTGTAAGTGGTAGTCAGGGACGTACTTACAATGCCTGCAGCCCTCCCGGGGTGCCTGTGGTGATGGTGGAGGGATAACAGCTCTCTTTGCCAGCAGCCGGCCGACCTGCCGGAGAGCCTGTGGGGACAGTGGAGGGCTAACAGCTCTCTTTGCCCTCAGCCAGAGACCCTGCTGGGGACCCTGTGATGATGGTGGAGGGGTAACAGCTCTCTTTGCCAGCAGCTGGCAGACCTGCCGGGGTGCCTGTGGGAACAGTGGAGGGCTAACAGCTCTCTTTGCCGGCAGCTGGCAGACCTGCCGGGGTGCCTGTGGTGGGTGAGGGCTAACAGCTCTCTTTGCCGGCAGCCGGCAGACCTGGCGGGGTGCCTGTGGGGACAGTGGAGGGGTAACAGCTCTCTTTGCCAGCAGCCGGCAGACCTGCCGGGGTGCCTGTGGGGACAGTGGAGGGCTAACAGCTCTCTTTGCCGGCAGCCGGCAGACCTGCCGGGGAGCCTGTGGGGACAGTGGAGGGCTAACAGCTCT